CTTGGAAAAGCTGAAGTGGCATTTTTAAAGAGCCAAAATCCGGAGAGACTGGTGCAAATGGCCTTAGATGCATTCTAGTGGACCCACAATAGAATAAGATTTCTAGATTTGAAAACTTCTAATGCAAATTTGGAATTTAGTTGAAACATGGCATGTTTTATTTATTTATTTATTTTATTTATTTATTTTTTTTAGTTTGGTAAGTACTCACACACGTTTTGCCTACGTTGGTCTCGAGCCTCTCCTTTCCTTCGTTAGGCTCGAACCTAACCCCTCCTTTTGAAAGTTAAGGAGGTTATACCATTGGGCTAAATGTACTTTTATGATATTATTGTTGTAATCTTGTTAGTCTGGGATCCTTATCCTGAGAAATAATAAGAGCAAGAAAATCTTGTTTGTTTGAAGGATTCACCAGGGAACCAATACAATTTGAGATTTGAGGCAAAATTGTGCCGGATATTTATATTACAAAATTTATAAAAGTTTAGGAAATTGAGAAATTGATTAGTAGTGAATATAAGTCTGGAAGAAGAAGAAAAGGGTGTGAGAGACTATGATAGAGAAGTAAACAAGCAATTGGAACTTCTCACACAAGCTCCAATTAATTGGAACTAAGAGGTTAGTTGCTAAGAAACTTTTTTACTCCAACAAGTATTTTCCCATCCAAGGATGATGACTAGAACAATGAAAGACAAATTGAGAATGGTGAGTTAACATGTACTCAATTCATAAATAAATAAACCTTCCGAAAAAGTTAGAATTGAATGGCATGGTGGGCTAACCTGGGCTATAGCCTAGGTCCAATTGAAAAAAAATATTTAGTAATATTGTTTCTATAAGTTCATATACTACTCTTCCTCTTCCTATTAGCCCAACCTAGTCCATAGTATTTCTATAAATTAAAAGAATTATAAAATTTACAAAAGCCAAGCCTTAAATATGAGCAAGCCTACGAACCATGGATAGGCCCAATTACAAAATAAACCGTAATAAAACATAACAGGCCCAGCTCAGTACGTAAATCAAACACAATGTTAGTCTATGGTGGAAGACCTAAACTCTTCGTGTGTAAGGCACTAAGGCATAGGTGGATGGATATCATGAATTATTATTGTTAATCCAGTAAAATATTGATTTTTATTTTTGTTAAAAAAAAAAAAGGGGGGGGGGGGGGGGGGGCTTTGTTGATGACTTAATGATTTCTTGTTAAATTGGGTAATTTAATATATAATTAATTAATAACTAGTTGGGGGTGGAGCACATAGGTCTTTCTTTCTAATGTGAATTTATTGATAAAGAACATATATATCTTGCATTCTTGTAGGTGTTTATTTTAATACTTATATGAAGCAGATTTCAGTGGATTCTTGACTGTGAAAATACATTAGAGTTTTGAAGTGTAAATATGTTAGAAGGTTGTAAATTATTAGGTTTAATTGAATAACTGATATATGAGAATTTTGTATTTAGAGCATGGATGACAAACTAAGCAATCATGAGTTTAATTATTTTTAGCCTCCCTTACTTTGCAATCCTGGCTCGCCTTGAATTTATTGGTACCTCCTAAGTAATAGGTGCAACATTGAGATGTTAGTATTTATTTTTTGGCAAAATAGAATTTTTATCTTGTATTATTATTATTATTTAATTCCTTGGATTGTCAAATATTTCCCTGCTTTTTACACCTGTAGAACAACACGGGAAAATAATTTTATTTCTTTGAAGAAGGCTTTTTGTTCTGTATCTATATAAGGAGGAAAAGAGAAACTGAATGGAGTCGCAAGAAGAAGAAGATGGGTCTTAAATTTGCATCTTGGAGCATTTTCCTTCATCTATTGTTTCTGATGGCAATCTCTAATATCTATTAGTACTTAATTCATCTGACACCTCATTGAAATTTATGGAAATGATGATATTTATTGCTATAGTTGTAAGTTGGCAACTAGTACGTAGTTACTATTGTTTGGTCGAAATTGGAGGGGCTGGTATTGAATTTCAATGAAAATTTAGAAATGCTACAATCCTTATTATAAAATGGAACCATCTTAAATTATATATGCAGATTTTTGAGCAAGATTTTGCATTTCGTATTTTGGTTTTGCCATCAACCTTGTAAAGAAAAACTAATTTTTTTGTTTCGAAACTTCATTGGTTCAATCATGCTAAATTAACTGATTCTAAGGTTTAGATGCTACCGACTATTTTGCAGTGTACTCATGGAAGTGGAGCCAGAGAGATGATGACAGAACATCGGATGCGTGATGGGCAGGCTTCGAAATATCCCACGGATGATGGCATCGCCGATGGGACTAATGTCTTACGACTCCATAACATGGATGGTGATGCCAACGCTGATAACTATGTTCACAAAGTAGTACATGCTTCACAAGTAGTTCGTGATCATAAACATAATGGTGATCATGCTCATCAAGGGATACATAAAGAGCATGTCCATGCTCATCCATCATCCCACGTGGATCACATTAATCCTTCATTGAAGGTGTTCTTCATTTTGGAGGATCTAAAGGTAGGCAAAATAATGCCCATCTTCTTTCCCAATAGAGACTTGTCCTCTTCTCCTCACATATTGCCCAGAGAAGAAGCTGATTCTATTCCTTTCTCACTGAAACAACTCCCCAAACTTCTTCAAGTCTTCTCCTTCTCTCGAGGATCTCCTCAAGCCAAAGCCATGGAAGACACACTTATACAATGTGAGATATTTGAACCCATCAAAGGAGAGATCAAGTAGTGTGCTACCTCCTTAGAGTCCATGCTTGATTTTACTCGTCGCTTTTTTGGATTGGAGACTCAATTCAAAGTTGTATCAACTACCTACCTCAAAAGGACAAAAAGTACTCTTCTACAAAACTATACTGTCTTGAAGGTACCTCAAGAGATCTCAGCTCCTAAGATGGTGGCATGTCATACCATGCCTTATCCTTATGAGTGAAAATAAGGTGTTTCAGGTTTCACTAGGTGAAAATGGAGATAGAGTGGAAGCTGTGATTGTTGGTCCCATGGATACCTCTCAATGGAGCCGTAATCATGTGTCCTTTCGCGTGCTTGGAATTGAGCCGGGGAGCTCCCCAGTATGCCATTTCTTTCCATGGGATAATTTCGTTTGGGTTCCATTGCCTACTTTGACCTAGCTAGCTATGAATTGTACACTATTGTAACCTAGTCCTCCTAGTTTAATCTAGCATGAACTCAGGCTTAATTATCTGTGTGAATTGATCAATATAGTTACAAATTTAATCTGATGTGAATTTTGTTGTGTCATTTAAGAGATACGTACAGAGAAATAGTTGAGCCTCGAGACTAAAGGGCTCACCTCGCCCCTTGTATATCAAGTTTTTCCTCTGCCTGGAGAATTTTAGGCTTTTTATTCAATGCAATTCCTTTCATAGACCAACACATTTTAACTTTGAGTTATGGAGACCAGCCCTAATAGGATGGACCCCTTCAAAAATGGGCTTAAGCTTCTTTGTGCTCACCGCGTGGTTGCGTGAAATTTACACCATAGACGACTCTTTGTTATATACTAGTTTTGTCAGAGGCTACTCTCACCACTTGCCCGATGTGGGAACAACCTTTTTTTTGCTTGTATAAAATTACAAAAACGCAAATGTTCCCAACTTCACCGAGTTGGTTCTTCTCAAACTAGTTCGTAAATCAAAGATGAGATGGACACCAGACTTAGCTTTTATTATATAGATTGAAGGGAATGAACAAATATATATTTATATATATATATATATATAGAGAGAGAGAGAGAGAGCAGTATCATACAGATTGCAGCTGACACATTCCATGGCTTCTTGGAACGACACCGGCCAATATACAGTCCAAGACTCCACATCCATATAATCCTTATCTGACTCAGCCCCAAAGATTGATTATGGCCATGGTTGGCAAATAGTTTGATTCTACTGGGGTCTAAACTTCAACAACTGTGACTAAAACCTTCAACATCTGACTAATGGTCTCGAAATTGTGTCCAATTTACATATATATGTATAATCAGTGGTTTCTTGGAATAATACTAGTTCCAAACAAAAGTACAATTTGAAACTGTTATAGTAATAATTTATAATCATTTCATTCAAAACAAAATATATATATATAAGATTATATAAAAATTTATTAGAACTAAATTTTGTAAGGCTTTACCCTGGGTTAGAGGGAGCCCTTCCAAAAATTCTCGATGGCTTGAGCCAAACCCAAGCCAAGGAGGGGGTTTGGAAATAGTTTTCAACCAGCAATTGACGCGCCTCGGTTAGCACCTCACTAGCTGCGTCATTGTCTCAAGCACAAAGATGGATTGGACTCATGGGCTTCCCTTGTTTTATAATGCTGCCTTCTGACATCATATTTATCATTTAGGTGATGTGGGACAAATAGACAGCTAGATAGTTGGATCTTGGTTCCACTCCACATCTTCTCCTCAGTTGGCCTGCCTGTCCATAGTTTTAGGAAGGAAAATAAGAGGAAAGAAAAGCAAACGAAAATATAATGAGATTCTAACTTCAGATTAATGTTAATTTTATCTTAATTAAAGACGATCCTACTGTGTTCAAGTTAATTAAAGACTCGGATTCATGTTGAATGAAAAAAATACATCTTAAAAAAAGCATATGATGGTCGATCTTCTTGAAGGATATTGCTTAATATAGTTTGTATATAATATAACTGAACAAAGCTTAATAAAGTTGAAGGTTTGTAATACATGTGGAATAACATCTTCCAAACAAACTCATATTCTCAAAGGAATATATTTCTGACATACAACTTCTAGTACATGTTATCCAGTCTTAATCACGAAATACTAGGTTTAAGGGAAAATTCAAACCTCATTTTGCAATTTCATTTCTCACACTTGACAACTAAACTTTGATTATCTTATTAAACAATGATCCCCTAACTCTCAATACAGACTTAAAAGAAATGCATGTCAAATAACTAAAACCAAACAGGGACAATGCTATTGTAAACTATATAAATTAAAGGATAATGGACTGAACAGCTTGAATGCGTTTCACATTGTGTCGACCTTCGCCAAGCACATATGCCCACTCCTTCAGAGTCCTCTGTTTCCCCTTGTCTGTAAAAGCCATTATCGCCATGTCCAGCATCAGTACACTCACATGCTTGAGCTTATCTCCTTCATCTTCTTCAATCACAGCTTCTACAATAATCACCTTCCCTTTGTCATTTGGAATAGCTTCTCGACACTTTCTCAGGATACGAATACACTCTTCATCTCCCCAATCATGCAGAACCCACTACAATTCAAAAGATGCATAGTTTATTGAACAAAAGAAAATAAACATGACTCAGATTTTCCCTAGAAAAACACCTTTGGAGAGTAACAATTTAATTTAAGATGCATGGGTTGGTTAAAAAATATTGATATATACAGTGAAAAGTAAAGCTAGCCTGATTAGTTAAAAGTGATTTAGAGCCTGCTTTGGTTAGTTTTCTTGCAAGAGTTTTGAACGTATTTTCTGAAAACTGAAAATTAGAAAACTATAAAAGAATCTATTTGGTTGTCCCTTTTTGAAAACTCAGCTAAAAAAAGACTTTTTAAACTGTTTTTATTTTTATTTTAAGAATTGTGTTTTATAGTTATCTGAAACAGATTTGTGTTTCTTGAGTTCTTTAGAATTGTTTTTAGATACTTAAACGAAGTAGTCTCAAAACCTTGAGGAAAGCAGCATCGGCCTTTGGCACGCTTTCAAACATGTCACCTCCAATGTGTTTTAACACCAATACAATTAGGTGTAGCAGACACAACGTGAGGAAGATCAAAGTTAATGCCATGAGGCCTTTACCAACATGCTCAGAGCTGTTCCATCACCACCCACCTACATCCACCAAGGAGTCCACCCCATCTAATAATTCAGGACAACTATCAATTATTGCTGGCATAGCCAGTCTAGCATCACTAGCAATTGCATCATAAAAGAATTTGTTTTGGGCAGGATTTGGACATGTTGTAGACACTAAAATTTCATTGGCTTTTGTCTTAAAAAATTGGCCTATCAAATATGGGCATCATGTTTAATTAAATTATTTAATTCGCTCAAATTTGGTCAACTTAAATTATTTAATTAGCCCATCACAGGTGATTAAATAAAAATATAATTATTCTTAATAAAATATATTGGGAATAATTATTTTACTGGTAATTATCACAATATAACCGGTCCGGATTATGTCCTTATCAAGAAAGAACACATGTCATCATCCTATTAATCCGGCCAAGAAGCCTATAAATAGAGGCATGGAGGAAGGAGGAGGGGGTAGAAATTCAAAGAGTCAGAAGTTCAGAGTAAAATACAGAAGATTTGCCGACATTCATCTCCAACACCCAATCCTTAAAGAAAAAGAACAACTAACACATCCAAAGTCATGCCTTTTTCCTCAAATTCAACAAAGAACAACAAGTGTATCCAAAGTTGTGACGTTTTTCCTCAAATTCAATAAAGAACAACAAGCACATCAAAATCGTGCCGTTCTTTTCTCCGTGATTCAACAAGTTTGAAGAATCACTAAACAACACCGTTCAAGATCAAGCTTCGTCAGCCCTCGATCAGAAATCATCGGCGATCTTCCTCAAGTACAAATTGAAGAAGATTGTTAACAAATCGATTCAATATTAAGCTCCACCAGTCCTTAGATCCAACCAACAAAGGAGATCAAATCAGAGGATATTTAATTTCTTTCTTTTGTAAAGAATACTGATTGTACTCAATTTTCATAAATTAATAAATTATTATTTGCCTCATATTTCGTTTCTTTAATTTGCAAATTCGAAATTTGTAAATACGAAAATTTGCAAGAATTCAATAAATTCTCTGAAGACAGAGAATAACAAGCATAACCAAAGCCGTGCCATTCTTCCTCAAATTCAACAAAGTCTTTGAAGGCAAAGAACAACAAGCACATCCAAAGTCGTGCCGTTCTTCCTCAAATTTACAAATTCTCTAAAGACCACATCCAAAATCGTGTCGGATCTTCTTCGTGATTCAACAACTTTAAAGAATCATCAAACAATATTATTTTTTACCAAGCTTCGTCAGCCCTCGATCAAAAATCATCAGCGATCTTCCTCAACTATAAATACTTGAAGAAGATTGTCAACAACCTGATTCAATATCAAGCTCCACCAGCCTTTGGATCCAACTAACAAACGAGAATGAATCCGAGGATATTTTCTTTCTTTTGTAAAGAATACTTCAGATGATTTTACTCAATTTTCATATATTAATAAATTATTATTTGCTCCATATTTTGTTTCTTTAATTTGCAAATATGAAATTTGTGTGTACAAATTTCTGGCACGCCCGATGGGACATCCTTTACCTCTCATCTCTTTCTCCTACATCAAATCTTTAACAAATTCTCATCGTTAGAATTTATGGCTTTCGACAAGATTTCGACGAAAAGCAAGAATACCCCCAAGGACATCGCAGTCGTGACGGACAACATCAATACCATCACAAAAGGTAGCAAGAAGGTTGCAACTTCGTTAAGTGGTACAAACATCTCTACAAGTTCAATGATGGGGAGCATGGTCAAAACATCCATTCCTACCGAAAAACATCACGATGTAATGAGAGTCGATTCGGCCAAATCTATCAAAACGATGACTTAAACTTATATTGTCTTTGCGTCACTGGGGGCAAGGAAGAAGGTTTCTATAACCTCAAAAGTTGCTCCAGTCACAAGTTCAAACTCAAGGCTAGTCCACCCAAAGCCAAAGACCTTCTCTAACCTAGTCACCGTATCAGTCATGATAACCAATACTACCTCGTATGAAGAACAATTGAAGAGTATGGCCTATGTAATTGAAAGATTACAACTAACTCCTAATGAACAAGATCTAAAAATTGCCTTGTTGATAGAAAAGTAAAAATTGCATGATGACATTGTTACATGACGACATTGCTAATTTAAGCAAAGGCTGGATTCCTCCTTTAGATTTCACTCCAATTCACGATCAAAATGTTATGTTTGCCAACCAAGAAATTGAAGCTGCCTTTGTCACTTCACTTTCTGTCCAACAACTTCAAGATGTGATAGTGAATTGTATAAGAGAACAATACAATGGCATCCCTCAAAGTGCTTGCATGTACTCAAAGCCTTATACAGAAAGAATTGACAACTTAAAAATGTCAATCAAGTATTAACCTCCAAAGCTTTAACAATTTAATGGAAAAAGCAATCCCAAGCAACATGTCACACACTTCGTGCAAACTTGTAGCAATACTGGTATAGATAGAGATCTCCTTGTCAAACAATTCGTTCGTTCCCTTAAAGGGAATGCATTTGATTGGTACACATACCTCAAAGTTGGGAGTATTGACAGTTGGGAGCAAATGGAGCGAGAATTTCTCAACCGCTTTTACAGTACTCGCAGAATAATGAGCATTTTAGATCTTACTAACACCAAACAAATAAAGAATGAGCTTGTGGAAGACTATATAAATCATTGGCGAGCTCTTAGTCTAAATTACAAAGATCATTTGTCTGAAATTTTTGTAGTTGAAACATGTATGCAAGGAATTCGCTGGGAGCTTCTTTACATCCTACAAGGGGTTAAGCCTCACACATTTGAAGAGCTTATTACTCGAGCCTATGATATGAAGCTTAGCATGAAAAATCATGGTGTTAGGGAAGATGTTCCTGATATACCTAACAACCTTCAATAAGATAAGGGAAGTGAGTCCGAAGAGGAAAACAAAATACTTCTTAACTCGGATGATGAAAATCCATTCTTAGGAATGAAAATCCATTCCACAACTAAAACATATGGAATGGTCATTCCATTCCCAAGTAATTTTTTTTTAAAAAAAAAATTAATTTCCCAAAAAACCCTCATGTTCCAAGTTCAAAAACCACTATTACCTTCCACCACAACCATCTCCGCCTTACTCCCCACCAACACTACCACTACCATCGCCTTCTATCACCACCACCACTTTCCACTACCACCACCTTTCACCTCCTTTACAGCCACCGTTTGCCACAACCACCACCGCCAGCTTTCACCACCGCTACCACCACCGTTTACCGCAACCACCACCGCCAGCTTTCACCACCGCTACCACTACCATTACCATTGCCTTTCAACACCTTCCACCCCCACCACCGCCATCACCTTTCACCACTGCCACCATGATGAGCGCTGAAAAGTGCGTATTTAAACCCGTTAAGCTTAGATATTTTAGGACATTTATCTATCTTATCTTCCCGCTTTGGATTGATTCCATGTTATTTCCGTTTTCAAGCACTTATCCCCAAAATAAGCTAATTCAGCCAAATAAGAGCATAATTGAAGCAATCTTGAGATGAATGAAAGAAAGAAGTAAAGTGGAAGCAAAATGAAGTAAGTGGTAGAAGTTCAGCAAAGTTCAATCGTTCACAGAATTTCTTCGATCGATCTGACATAGATCGATCTCTGCACTCCAAAATGGATCCAAGCTCTTTTGTCCTTATCCAAAGATCCCACAGTGTTCAATCGATCCAACATTTATCAGATCGATCAAAAAGATTCCATCTTATCCTGTTGTACCACCCCACCCACCACTTTTGTCTCTTTCCCAAAATATCTTTAAAATATTTCAGAATTGTCTTTATCCAAAAAGGCGCTGCAATGGGAGGATTGATCCAGCCAAAGTTTGATAGATCTCACCACAGTTCGATCGATTGAACCTCTTCAAGTCTAAAAAAAAATAGATTCTAGCTCATTAAAAGTTGTCTCATGGTGCAATCATTGGAGGAGCCCTTGTGTACGAGCCTAGACCATTGGGTGAGACATTTGAGCTACCTATATAAGGATTATGAGCCACTTTTACATAGAGGTTTTTTTAGATACAATTTTGATATCATTCTTATAAAGGAAGAAAAGAGAAGAGGATGCTAGAGACACATTCTTGGGAAGTCTTCCATCTACCTCAAGAAGAAGAGCATTTCTACCATGGAGATAGCCCTTGAAGGATGGAAGACACCATCCATAAGTGGCTAGACATCCTTTTGGGGCTGGAGTTAACCCTAAGCATGCCTTCTTTACCTTGATTTATGTATTTTTGAAGGGATTTATGTTATAATACATGTTTTGATATTTTTATATACATAGACCTTGTTTATTCAATGATTTGTGTGGTTTAATTCTTCCAATTGATCATTTCATTCTATCCATATGTCTATGTATGCTAGAATAGATGTTCATGTGTTTATCTCTAGCTCTTGTGTTGTTGATGCATGTTTATGCCTGTTGATGATATAGATCTAGAGATTGTTAAGACATAGTGCTTAATAAAATGCTCTTGTAATTTATTTGATGGTTTATACTCATTTCTTAATGGATTGTACCTATCTTTTAGTTTAATTAGTTTAATTTTCATGTCATTAACTTAGATGTAGTGTAATTACCTTAGTTGTTAAATGGGAGGACAATCCATGCTTGTTGTTTGATGTTCCATACTTATGAATGCAAGTAGTATATTTCTCTAATCATGTAATGTGTTTGGATTATGAGCTTAAAGGAAGGATTAATGACTTAGTTTGATATATCGTGCTATTCATTGTGTTGTTTAGACAATATATACTTAATTGGTCTTCCATACTTATTAAAACAACCACACACACTCACTATTGTTGCAACATATGTTTTCCCCCTCATTAATTATGAATTGAGTGTATAGAAAGGTGATGCTTAATGGTGACCTCTAAGCCCCTAGACCTCTCTCTCTTGTTTTCTCTATCCTTTTATTACTTGTTTTATATTGAGCTTGTTTAGTCTTAATTGTAGTTTAATCAACCAAACCAACCATATTTTGATCACTCGACCTACTAACCCTAATTTTGTTTCCATAGTAATATGACCCACCAATCTCTTAGGACGATTCCTAATCATCCTAACTATATTTTTAGTTAGAGGTAGTAGTGGCTTTTATAAATTTAAAACTTGGTCACATTGCACACTCACACTCTTAGTTCATCTTTTTGCAAACTTTTGGTGCAACGCAACGGCAACCACCACACCACCTTTCACCACCACTACCGCCACCACCACTGCCTTTCACCACCACCGCCACCGCCTTACACCACCACCATCATCTTCCACCACAACCACCTTTCACCACCACCTTCCGCCACCGCCAACGCCTTCCACCACCTTCCATCACTACCACCACCACCACCTTCCACCACCGCCACCGCCACCGCCATCGCCACCATCTTCCACCACTGCCGCCGCCTTCCACCACCGCCTTCCTCCACCACCACCACCACCGACACTTCCACTGCCTTCCACCACCACTATAGTCACACCACTATCTCTTTCCACTACAACCCCACACTACTACCACCACCTTCCACCAACGCCACTGCCACCTTCCACCATCCGCTGCCGCCTTCTAACACCACCACCTACACCACTACCGCTTTCCACCATCCACCCCCGCCACTTCCACCATTTATTTTTTAAAAATTATTAGAGAATGTCATTTTGATAATTTAATTTATTTGTTACTAAGAGGGATATTTTGGATAATTCAATTAGAAATTTATTCCATTCTAAATTTTAAATTAGTCCAACCAAACACTAGAATGGTTATTATCATACCATTCCTACACATTTCATATTTATAACCAAACAATAGAATGAGAATGACCATTTCATTCCATTCTCATTCTCATTTTATTCCCACTTGCATTTTATTCCATTTATGCACACCAAACATAGTATAAAAGAATCTGTTTGGTTGACCATTTTTGAAACTCAGCTAAAAAAAGACTTTTTAAACTATTTTTTTCTTTTTTTTTTTTTAGAATTGTCTTTTATAGTTATCTAAAAATAGATTTGTGTTTCTTGAGTTCTTTACAACTGTTTTTAGATAATTAAATTAAGCAGTCTCTACAATTTTAAGTTATAGAATACTAACCATGAGGAAAGCAGCATCGGCCTTTGGCAGGCTTTCAAACATGTCACTTCCAATGTGTTTAACACCAATACAATTAGGTGCAGCAGACACAACATAAGGAAGATCAAAGTTAATGCCATAAACCCAATGAAAGGCCTTGACTAACATACTCAAAACTGTTCCATCGCCACCACCTACATCCACCAAGGAGTCCACCCCATCTAATAATTCAGGACAACTATCAATTATTACTGGCATAGCCAGTCTAGCATCACAAGCCATTGTATCATAAAAGAGTTTGTGAAGATGCAAGAAATTGCTCTCTATAATAGGAAAGTATTTTCTTACACTCCAAACAGTTGCTCTCTTTCTATCTCTCTAACTTCTATTTATAGAAGTGTATATTTGCTCCAAAACTTCTTTTAAACCTGGGCCTATCTTTGATAGGTATTTTCTTTGGGCTGTAGTGAATGGAAGGCCTTTTTATAATGTTGAAGAGGTTGGGCTTGGAGGTGGTCTAATGGCGCTTTGGGCTTAATGACTCTTTTCATGTTTGGTTCAAAGGCCCAATAATGCTCTAGACTGGGTAGACCGGCCCAAGGGTGGTCCAGTTTACTTTCTGCTTTTTCACCTGCCCCCTAATCTCTCTCTTATTTATGAGAGTGAGATTAATGAGGTGACGTCATGATTGATATGATGGCTCGATGTGATGATGTGGGGAGGCGGATGGCTTGCATGGAGATCTATGCTTTGAAAACTAAAGCTTCATCATTACTATGAAGCTTCGGTCAATGTGACGGTCCTTTTTAAAACCCTTGGTCCACTCCTTCAAACCTCTCTTATGTTTTCTTTACCTATTCTTCAAGCATCCCACTCTTCCATCCACGGCTGACAATGAGGAAATCTTCCCCGACTAGTCTTTCTTAGAGGTTCTTTATCAATAACTCTTGGCAGCAACTTCGTAACTCCATTTTTTATGGTGAGTCTAGATCTCTTGTTGTTTCTTGAAAATTCTTTCATCTATTTCTCTTTTATATTCAGGGATTCCCCTAGCCATTGTCATGTCTAGCGATCTAGACTTCATTCGTGCCCAGTATGAGATCCCCGACGACGTGTTCATTAGACGTTGACCTAGGAATTTGAATGTAAGGACTGGTGAGGGTCCCTTGCACAGGGAGATCCTCTTTTCCACCCTCTATCTAAATATAATTAGATTCCCTCTACATCCTTTCTTTCAGTATGTCCTTAATAAATTAAATCTATCCCCTCTGCAAGTGAACCTTGATTTCTTTAGGATCATGTCGGTCCTTTTGGTGATAAATAATGATAGGAATCAAGAGCTCAACCTTTTAGATCTTCTCCTCTGCTATATGATTTGTAAGATTAAGTAAAATGACATGTACTATTATATTTTCCCTCTTCCCGAATGGTCGATCTGCACTAATAACCCTAACTCTGAGAAGGGTTGGAAGAAAGGCCTCATAGGGGTTAGAAGGCCTGGCAAACTTTTGCCTCCAAATACTTCCCCATTTCGACCACCTTTGGCGAATGTTCAGTCTCACTGTACACTAAGAATAAGAAACATAAGAGTAAGTGTATATTTAAAGTTTGTCGCCCTCATTATTGTTCTTTCCTTTGCCACTCCCTAAAAATCCCACATGACAACTTAAGTTACAACGTTTGCAGGGCTAGGACCCATACTTTAGAGGAGAAGGTGTAGAATAACGTCCCTTCGTCTTCCAAGTTACTTACCTTAGCAACTCCCAATAGCATCTCATTCCTAGGGCTTTGCATAGACGGACTACAGATCCCTTCTTTCAGAAGGAAGAGGGGTACTTCTAGTGCGCCCCTACCCTATCTTTTGAGTCTGACAACCCTCCACCCGCTCAAGAGTTTGCCCGAGAGAGAAAGAGAAAAAAGAGACCCTTATCCAAGAGGGGTGTGAAGTCTGACTTGAATGATGTTCCCTTGTCCCAGAAGGTTAGAACCTTTGGGGCGACCGGGCCCAATGCACAGAGAGAGGTGCCTACTTCAGTTAGCACAACTGAGGGAGCAAAAAGGACTTCATCTAATCCTCCCACGGTGATTCCATGGACTCCAATGTTCACCCATGCGGATGGCTCCATTGTTGCTCCCAATGACACCATGTTCAAGCATGGTCCGACTGACATGGCCTGCGACTCTCACCTGTGGTCTCCACAGGACGTGAAGGTGCACAGGGAAATGTCTCGCAAGGACATGTTCACCCGGTTTCCAGTTTCTTCCATGGAGGTAACTTCGTCTTTATACTTACTTTCTTTTCCCGATCGCTCTAAAACTGTCTTGCCTACATTGGGCATAATAGTTTTCTCTTATTTGTATACAGACATTGTTCAGGATGGTCACCTTCCAGAATGCCCTTGAGATAGCTGACCAGAAGGTGCACACTCTCTTAACGGGTACAAAATTATGTCCCATGACCTGAAGAAAGAAAATGCAAAACAGAATGAGTTAGAACTCAAATTCTCTGCCCTTCAGAAGGAGAGAGATAATCTTTAGGGCGCTCTGGAGACCCAACAGGTTGTTCGGTCTAATCTGGAAAAGAAGTCTTCAGATGAACATACGACCCTTCTTGGAGTTATGAACAGGTCGAATGTGGGATTAAGGCTCTTCATGGCTGTTTCTCCCGTACCGAAGCCCTTCGGTATGCTCAGGGATACAAGGATGGATTCACAGACTGTTCCCCCCTAAGGGGCAGAGGAAGTCTTATGATGATCCGGACGACTGCGACCGTGATCTCCAGATCGAAACCGCTCAACCATTATACCGATCCACTCCTAATCAGTCCGAACTCGTCTTCCAAGAATGTAATGAGATTGCTACTTCTAGGATTATCCCTCTTGTCCCCGCCGTTCAGCCTCTGAACAACGCTCCTTCTACCACACATCCGGGGAATGGAACTCCACCCTGTCGTGCTTCTAACAGCCAGGCTCATACACTTGGACTATACGTTATTTTTATAAACCTACTTAATATAAGGATTGATTCATTAATGGAATGAGAAAGAAAGAGGAGAAAGAAAATATGTTGATGTGGCTATGTAAAAAGGTTATGTATAATACACAATAATTCTACACATTGGTGACATAGAAGTGTATCTTAACCGACTACTGGAGATAAATAAATAAATAAATAATTACACATCATACGTGGCAGTGTATATTTTACACAAAAAAGTATTTTAACAGACTACTGAGAGCATCCCAACTGTTTGGGTACATATATATATATTGTGTAAATCTGATATGTCATAATAGATTTACACTAAAATTTTGGATTATTTATTTTTAGCACCAGTGGTTGTTTTATACCTTTTGTGTAAAAATATATTTCCCAATAATAACAAACTAGTGTCATGCATGGACCCCACATAATTTTTACAAACATATTTAATATAGGATTAATTCATTAATGAAATGAGAGAGATGGAGGAGAAAGAAAATATGTTGTTGTGACTGTGTAAAAATATAATGTAAAAGATATAACAATTTTACACATTGGTGACTCTTAACATATTATTGGCGATATACATATATATATATATATATATATATATATATATATATATATATATAGACACACACGTGAATGTGTATATTTTACAAAAAAGAGTATTTTAACATATTGTTGAAATTCTCTTAGACTGATGTCATATTTATGTAAGAACGTGAAAAGGTTTTTAATATTATCAAAATAATTTTGATTATTACCTATAAAAAGCTACATTCGCATTTCGTACACTTTAAAAGCATTATTATAAATAAATTTTCGAAAGCATTGGGTCTTTAAGGCCTTATATTCGACACCGCATGGACGGCATGGCAAGTAACTTTAGATGATTCACGCCCTCACATCACAGGCACAAATCTTCTGCTGTGCGATTTTCATGTTGTCTCCTATAGTGAGCGATAAGTGGTCTTGGTTTGGCCACGTTTTACTCCACTTAATAAAACTAAGACTGTGTTTGGCAATTACACCACCATTTTTAAGTAATATTTCACCACCATTTATAAGTATTTTTACGAGAGTCTAAAAAGTAACATCACATGAGTCTAAAAAGTAACATCACCATTTGTAAGAGAGTAACATCACCACCTAAAAAGTAAAGATTGTTGACAGTCAAATACCTCATAATCCCCTTCAAAATCCTCTTTAAATTAACATGTGACTATTTTTTTTTGGATTTTCTATTTTTTATGATAAAATTTAACTTAAAACATATATAAATAATATGTTGAATTGAGTTAGATTTATGTGTCACTATTAGTTTTTCAACACTATGTGAATACCTTTTTTTGAATATGAAGGTGGTGGGTCTGACAATTAATATTAAACTTTGCCAATTTTTTTCTTTTGATGGTGAAGATTGATGCGACCTGAGCGTGTGCACAAAATAATGCACAACACTTTGGTTTTGGAAATGGTATCAAGCGGGCATCATAGTTTACATTTATAAACCGCTAGACACTTATACTATGTAGTATGAAGTGAGAAGAGATCGAACCCAAGAAATTGAACACGTGTTGGGATTAAACTTGATTTTAGTGCTAATGAGATTGCACAAGAGAGAGAGAGAGAGAAAAAAAGATTTTGGTGGAGTGATTAAACTAGAATTCAATTGAAAGTATGGAAATACAAACGACAATGCAAGTAAATTAAACTAAGAATTAAACAGATAGGAAGAGAGTCTCAGGGTTAGGATTCACCACTAAGCTCATGTAATTAACCATTTACTTTCAATTGATGGGGAAATCATTAATGTAATTATAGATGTAGCCACATTATCATCACAAATCACAATTGTAAGCATAGATTATCAACATCAAGAATGAGTTGTCTACTTAATGACAATTAAACTAAAGTGTAGAACCCATTCAAGACTATGTCATAACCCACCATACACATTCACAAATGTATCAAATAAGAGCACACATCAATTAAGAGAATAATACTAATTGTAATTAGAAGCATAGATTAACATAATCAAACACAAATTGCCTATTTAACTACAATTAACTAATAACAAGAAAGCTAATTTGTACAACAACCCATCAAGATTAAGCTAATTGCCTACTTAACTACAATTAACTAATAACAAGAAAGCTAATTTATAGAACAACCCATCAAGATTAAGCCTTTATCCATTAAATTAATTGACTGTTGTATCAAATAAGTATCATGCTATGGCCATCACTAAACACAACTACAAGAAGTATTTAATGTAGAATATAATCCTAAGCAAT